CCAGCTCTTGGGAGGCAAAGATCAGAATTAAGAAAAAAGTATTTCTTGAAAATCAATCCTTTGTTGTGCTGTGGAAAACCGGTGATGAATACCCCAGAAAGCATCTGGCTGAACATACTGCACATTTCCAGGAGGCCCTTGTCCATTTTCAATCTAAGTATCAACTCAGGTTTGTAAATGTTACCAGGAAAAATAATCCTATTTTCAACATCCAAAATAAATCTTCCTAATTTGTAGCTGGTAGGGGCAACTAGTACTAATACTGTGTTGGAGCAATGGCTTAACAGTTTTTCCCTTGATACTCAAAGGTAGGATAAAATACCACAGTTTAGACATATAGAGAACTCTATTCTCCTAAAGGATGAATGAGGGATTTATGTTGGGTCATGTTTCTGAATACTAACAGGAATATTCGCAGAAGTCCTCACATGCTCTTAGAGAAGAATGCCCCATGTGTCTGTTTCTTCATCCCCATCTTAGGCTGCAGCAATCAGCTATGTCAACAGAAGTCAAAGCTTCCAATCACAGTGGCGGAAGTCCAGGCTGGAAGACCATGGATGAAATTTATACAAACTTATGTCAGCCCTGAAGAGGAAGTCTCTCAAGAAGCTGGAACATTCATATTTTGCCACCCCTTGCATGACTCCATAGAAGACAGAATTTCATAAATTTGGAATGGAGAATGATGCAATCAGTGGGTGGCTCTGAGTGAGTCCTCTGTTCCAGGGCCAGACCACACTTTGGACAATAACATTCTTATTCAAAAACAAATTCCAAAGTTACCAGTAAGTTTTACTTGCTAACCAGTAAATTTAACCATTTTAAAGAACTAAATTAACAGGCACATCCAGCTTATTGCTTCTCTTTTTTAATTACACTTTTACATTCATCCAATGAGATGAGGAGGTATATATCCAGAGATATCCTCAAATTTATTCAATAGGTCCCCCAGATCTGGGCTGCAAAATTCCAGATGACCAGAGATGCAGAGAACTCTAACCCAAAAACCTTTAACGTTCTCATATAGTGGGCATCTGGAATTTTGTAGCCCAGATCCAGCAGTTTACCACATAATGCGTCATGGTGACTCTCCTTAATTTCTGGATGGAATGACAGAACATTTTAAGTCTTGTGAGTTTAAGCTCATTGACATGCTCAAGAGAACCCTGATGCACAGCCTTTCAAGTTTGGATGAGGATGTTACAGAATAGATGAACAGATTTGCAGCTGAATAGACAAGAACAAGAGGAGTACAATAGAATACAATATTCTTCTACAAAGAAAAGTAGAAGTAGTCTATAAAACAGCATGAAATTAGAGTGATATTTGTTAAGATCCTCAGGGACATAGTTATAAATGCTCCCAGCCATCCTGTCTCAATCAATAAATTGCTCGTGAATAATCTGTTTCTTATTGGATTCTTCTAGTAGTATTATAAGGGTCAACTCCCCCCCCCTTCCAAAAAGTAGGGGGATTACATGCTCATAAGCACACACTTTCTCTTATGCAAACTTTGCAGCTCTCAATGTCTTGTTTCTACAAAATAAAGTTTACAAAAATGTGTCTCTTTTGTTCTTAGGTTTTGTTAGTTTTTAAACATGAGCCCTACTCCAAATAAAGTTTGTTGGTGTTCGTGATACCTCATGCAAAAGTTAAATATAACTCTTTATAAGTATGCTGTTGAATTCCCAGGTTTGTTGATTTTTTGGCTGATCTAAGTTTCTAAATATCATGGAATGAAACCCTAGACACCTAACAGCATATAAAGAACCTGCACAGATATGATGCTGTATCAGTATTATAACTGCACATTAAAACAAATTTCTGCTGCAGAATTTCTTGTTCTTCACCCCCAAGAGAAATTTTCTGGATACATGCTAGAAGAAATGCATAACTACTTTAGGAGTTAGGTCTACAGTTACTCATTTTGAGGACACACCATGTTTGCAAATGGTGCCAGAAGCTTGCACATTCTAACTCATCTCCAATTATGGACTGTATGTCTCCTCTTCACAGATACTAGGATGGGAAGAGAAGTGGCATAGGCAGGGATTGAAGGACACATATCTTTTAATAAGTAATTTTCCTGAAATAACTAATGAAAGTGTTAGGAAAAATTCCAGTGCCCATGCCCTAGCCCTAAAAAAACACAAAGTTCAGATTCTTACACCTTTGCAACAGGCTTTAAGGCTTCCTTCTTCTAAGTGGGAAGAAGAGTTTCCCCCGCTCACTTCTTATGGTATCAGACTAGTCCAGGTTCAAGCTGTTTGCTTTTGACCTTGTCAGACTAGTTCTCACAGGTGGCATTGTGGATTATATCTATGCTTTATTTTTGTTTCGTGGAAATATTACACTATCTTCAAAGGGATGCTAACCTCTCGGCACAACCATTAAGCACAAATGTTTTCACCATTCTGTCACCCAAAACTATTTCTTCCCCATCTTTCATTTTAAAGCGAAGTACATTTTTACTGCATTGTGCAAATTTTAGAGAAAACCTATTTGGGCCTATCTGAATCTTTTTATGCCTGTGAAACAATTCCACAGAAACAGTTTAAGACTCTCCCTCTTTCTCTTTTGCACATCAATGTGCGTATTGTGGAAAACCCACATTTGGGGTCCAAATACTTAGAGGAGGAAGAATGAGCATATAAAACATTAGTCCCAAAACAATTAGGAGTAATCTGAAGGAAACAATGCAAGAGATACTACCAGAGGCACATCCTTGTTTCTACCAGTCATCAAAATACGGGCTTCCTTTTCATTCTAGTGAATGCATTTCTTTCGTCAGTCAATTAAAAAGCACTGTTAAAGGAGAACACCTCATAAGGCCAAAGGTGAACATAGGCTGTTGTATTTCAGTCCAATAAAGACTAATTTTATCATAACTTTAGGATGTGTGTGTGTGTGTGTGTGTGTGTGTGTGTGTTAGAGTTGTTTCTAGTGAAATCTGTTGGCAATTTGCATTTATATGTGGTTTTAGCTTTAATGAAGCATTTCTTTTTCAGAAAAGCATCAGAAAAGCTTGTTTGTAGAAATGAATTTCCACATGTTGTAGTCCAAAATTGGAAAATAAAGAACTTCTGTCTCTTAATTTTAGGCCTACAGATCCTTGGGGATTTCCAATCTTTCCATCAAATTTGTGGCTTTCATGGAGTTCAACGACAGCATTTATTTTGATTTTGGTTCTTTATACCTCTCTATTTGTCTCCCACTTTTCTTCCTCTGGGTATTACTAGTTTATAAACAACTGCACCACAGCCATATCTATTTTATATCCACATATACTTTAACTTGACATTCAATAAATTAATAGTGAGGTTAAGGATGATAGTTACAGCAACTCTCTGTTTCTTTCTATGATCATTTCTACATTCATCTGCAAAAGACAATGTATACTTTTCTATTCTCACATAATTTTTAAAAATCTCACTAAAAAGCAATTAAGCTTCTACAAAGATATGCCTGAATGGATGTAGATAGGAATTCAAAACTTCTGAAGGATTGTAGAACAAACTGTACAATTATACATTTCAGGATCGAGCTCACTGTCTTGTATAACTCCTGCAGTTCCCTAGCAGAATTAGCAGAAACAGAATTGTGCTTTTTAATATATGTGCACATTTTAAGCTTATTATAAACCTCAATTCTGGTAAAGAATGATGCCATAAGATCGATACTCTCTTCTACGATATACATTTTCTTTACATCATGCCTGTCTATGATCCTGACCAAGCTTCAGATGAGCACATCGGATATCAAATCACTTAAGAGCCATGCTATTCACCACTGATTCCATACAGCAGACCAGTTAAGTTCAGGGTCAGGAACAGACTCGACATCCATAGGTAGAGAAATGAGCAAAAACCTTGCACAAAATATCAAATCTCAAAGCTAATGAGACTTTTTGCTCCTGACAATATCTTACTCTGCATTCTTGTTTTAATTGCTTCTCTGCATCAACAGCTTTCTGCACACCACAAGTCATGTCACAGGACTGTGACCATCTCACCTCACAACACAGGGTAACAATTATATGTGACCCTTTGAAGATGGTATATTGACTATAGAGTACTTATTTCCATGAAGCAGTTGGATGAACCTTGACACTTATTAGCAAGGTTTACAGATGATGCTGTAAATGGATATGCATTTGCCACTAACTCCATATAGATTCATTCCATTTCTATGTGAAAGTGTTTATTGTTTAGAAAAAAAATTAAGGAAAGGCCTTCCACTATATACAAGGCCCACTAAATTCCATGAAGACTACACTGGAGCACCCTCAGGAAATTTATATCCATTCCATTAAGGGCAAAGCAAAATAATTTGCTGTTGGGCTGTCTCCTTTCCACCTTGCACTATGTGGTCTTGAGAAACATACTTCTGCTTCGCTCAACCAGTTTTCACAATACATCATCCCAATTTGGAGGCTTCTGGGAAGCCCCCTAATTTAAAAGATTTCACCTAACTTCAGAGCGCCCTGGATTGGAAATACCCTACATGGCACATAAGCTCACCCCCTGCCCCAAACGAAACCTAAGCATCCATCGTGTTTCAAGATGAAGAGCATTGTCAGAATCAAAACCCACGGTTCCCATCCAATACCACTCGTTTGTTTCTCTGTTTAAGCCCAGAGAACTAGAAAAGAGGTCGGTTGTCCATTATGCTGGATCTTATCCAACATTATTATAACGCATCTGGTTAAAATGAGGGATTTCGGCCCTCGGGCGCTTTTCTTCCGGCAAAACTTGGTGAAGGGTTCTCCCGCTCTCTTTCCCTTTCCAAAGGAGAGAAGCCCGCGGCTTTGTCAACGCCAGGATGCACCAGCGCGCCTTCCTTCCCTCTTCCTGACGCACCAGAGCGGCCAGGAACCCATCCCCGAAACACAAAGGGCTTTCCCTCGCCACCAAGAAACAAAAGAGCGTGGAAAAGGCGGAGGATAAGGGCGCAACCGCTGGAAAGCCCGCACGGCGCGCAAGAGGCATGGCTCGCCTTACCCTGCTGCCATGGGGTCCACGCCGCCTCGTGCCCGGAAGGTCCCGCGTCGCTCCTGACGGCTTTCCCCACGATGACGAGGGACCCTGTCGGGGGACCATCCACTCCAGGAGCTTTCTGCTCGCTCGCCCGCCCGCCTCCTCCTCCTCCTCGCCTCCTCCTCTTCCTGAAAGACCCTCTCCCTGCCCCGCGCGGACGGGCAGGCTTGGTGGGGCGCGGTCCCGTCGCGCCCTTCACCCCGCTTCCAAGTCTTCCCCAAGTCGCCCAGGGTATGGGAGGTCAAGCGTGAGGGCGTTCCCTCTTCCTCCTCCTCCCCCCTTGGATGCCCCTAAAAAGACGCACACGGTTCCTCCTCCGCGGAGTCCTGAAGCCTTTCCAGCGGCCCTGCAGCGGGTGCGTCCACGGAGTCCCGGAGCAGGGCAACGCGCCACCAGTCCGGCTTGCCGCGCGGAAAAGAAGGCTGCCCCAGGCAGGGAGAGTTGCTTGCAAAGTCCTCGGAAAGTGAGTTGCTACATCCCTTCGCGGCTCTTGCTGTT